ACCTAAACGATTCTATGATTCTATTCTAAGACTGCAGAAAACCTTGGATTACATTTGTGAAGGCACGTGATGAGCCAAGATTTAATGTTTCAAAAGCAGACCCAGACTATTTTGTTTGTCCAGGATCAAAAATGAGTTTGATGGTATCATGTGTGCTACGGTATTAGTAGCAGAATAGAAATATAGCTGAGAAAAGAACTACAATGAAAGTACTGAGCAAATAATACAAAGAACACAGTAAATATCAAACCTGAAACATAAAATGGTAAGATTAAGACAGAACAAAGAAGAGCAATAGACACCTATATAGCTCTCACACATGAGTAAAAGCCTGGCCCAATTCAGTGCTAAAGACACATTAGAGTTCAAACCAGTTTTATATAAGAGGGTGGGGAAAAAAAAAACCACCACAAATCCCATATTTTTATACCATGTTAGCATTTTAACAGTAACTGGGGAAAGAAGCCATTAATACAGGAAACTTCCATAGCACATGGAAGCATTTAGATACTTCATAACTAGCAAAATCAACCATAAGTTGAAGGTATAAAGAAGTATCAACAGCTACTTTCCCACTGCCACGAACATTTTTAGGCTGTTTGTATCAGCAACTGGCTAATACATACAAAGTCGCTCTTAGTGGGTACCTGAACAGCCTGAGCTCAAAGGGAGAGGTGGAAGACAAGCTATCTCCTCAGGAAGGTCCTGAAATGATGCAATTTTCACTATAATTCATGGGGATAACATCAGCCTTTGAAGAAGCAGAGACAGATGTCCCATCCAATGGCCAGCCACTCAAAGACAGATGACAGCATTCCATTAACATCCAGCATTCATTTACATCCAAGCAAGCACACAATCAGAAAACAGATTGAGGTAGGGGGAAATGCTGGAGACTGATGAGTATTTACATTTCTCTTTATATGCACTGCAAGAGCTAAACCCCCAAGAAATGCACTGGTAACCTGATCAAAGTAGAACTTGTGGGCAATGGTAGGAAGATAAGGGGAACAGTTCTGGCTCAAAGGGACTGACATTGAAACCAGCATCCCCTTTATTTCCCCATGGTCATTTCCACTTGCAACTCAGATTTCCACTCCACAGCAATTGTGAAGATCAGGAAAAAACCCTAGTCCCTGTGTTGTGGGAGGCATAGCAACAGAGACCAGCACTTATACAACTAAACTAATTCTGCAGCCACAAGAGCTCTCATGCTGCTTTAAGGAAGTGATTTTCCTATCGTGGCTTAACACCAGGAGCTTGTACCAGAGCCAATATTGGAGAATACTGAGGAGGATGCAGTCTCATCTTATGGCACCAAATATAAAATCTACCTTGACTATGGAGCATCATCACTGCTGACGCTTAAAGATGCTCTACCTGCTTAACAGATGAAGGGGAAAGATTCCAGCCTCTTCCAACTCCTGAATACATCAAGAAAAACCCTCAGAGACCTCAGTTCATCCTAACCAAAGTGAAGAACAACGATACCCTGCTTCTGGGCCTTTTAAGATATATCTTCAGGGTATGCTTTGAATACTGGTATCAAAAGCTTTGAAGGCAGAAGAGTAAGACAGAGCTGTATGCCTTCTTGTTGGGCCAGCTTTCTTTTCCCAGGATACTTTTCCCTTCTTACCCATTTGTGGTTTAAAGGGCCTGCAGCTGGAAAACTTCCAATATATTTTCTCCTAAGTTAATGGAGGCATATTCTACAAGATACGGTATTAGAATAAATACGGCGGTGAGTTGCCAGAATGAATCAAAGAACTGACAACATAGCAGAAGTCTCAGGTGGTAGAGAAGTTTTATACAAAAATAAGAAAAGCTACCTCACTAGGAAAGTTTGATTACACAAAACTGTTTACATCCAGCAACTGAGCAGACATGAAATGGCACTAAGTGCACTTCGCATTGTATATGTTAGTTACAATATCCTAATAGGTACAAGGATATCTTTTATGGTAAGACTAGGAGATTCTCCTGATAATAGCTTTTCCAGTGCTCTCCCCATTCAATATCAGCTGCAACAGTGCTTAGAAACTCCCAAGACATGGCACAAAATAATCGTTGTACTTTGCTGCAGATAGTATTTTCTCACAAAACATTAAAAATTTACAGGCTTACTACTAAGCACTGCAAGTTATAAAAAAGGAATTACAATTCACTGCCATTAACATGGAAGAAAAGACACCTTTCACCAACTTTAAGCTATTCAGTCCTAGCAACCAGGTCCATCCAGTGAAAAGGCTATTATTCTGTGCCTAATCACAGAGAAGACAAAGATTCCTCTTCAGCATGTAGATAAAAGGCATAGGCTATCATCCATAACCACATAATGTCTCTGACTGAAAGCAGTCATCCTGAATTTTTTTATGCTTGATCACTTTCAGAAGAATCTTAAGGCTGCCCAGGGAAGACATTACAGCAACCTTCTTCAGTGAGTTTTCTCAGTGGGTTGAAACCATGACTCTCCCTGCTTCTGGCTACAGTAAATGAACACCTGCATAAAACTATCCTTTAGCTGTCAGAAGCCAAGTACCTCTGGCCATTTCTTTTGAGAGTATACTTGAGCTAACACTACCACTGATAGCACCAGCCCTACCTTTGATCCAAACCATTACCTCCCTACACCAAAGCAAAGCTTTATGCACCTGTGAAGACTAAGGAAGCTGAACCTGATTAAAGCCAGCCCAGCCAAGAAGAAACAAACATCTCTGCTTATGTTTTGTTCACATGTGTGTGTGTGTATCTCTCTCTCTATAAAAGCAAGGGTTTTGTCACTTATCAGCCCTCCCCCCTCAATCTAGCTCTTAGTTCCAGTTCTATTTCAGTATGTCTGTGTACATAATTTTAAAGCACTATTCAAGCAATTAACAAAACTGAAGTGGTATTATAGCATATAGAACAAGATGCTGTACTTTGTTTTAGCAAAAAAAAAATTTACAGAACTTGTCTCTTTGGAAAGACCTAACATACTTCCAGATAGCAATTCAGAAGAAGAATGCAGCATGAATTATGAATCAACTTCTGGAGAAGCCCCTCTCAATTATAATCAGAGATTATTAAAGAGACATGCACTAATTACGGTGTCCTAAAGTTACCTTGTGTGAATCCCATTCCATTTCTAGTAGCAATTTACTATGTTGCTATTTACAGTTACATGTATAAGCTCTAATGCATAGATTTAAGTCCCTGGCTACAAAATATTTGACAGTTTAAAAATCTAAAACCAGGCAATCAAAATTATTTACTGCAGAGCTGGAATCAGCAGCAAATTTATGCTTTGCTGATGTGATGGAATCTTTTCTCTAAGGTACTTAGAGATCTTTATAAAGCCACAATTTCAGACTAAACATTAGTCTTATTAGCATATAAAATACTTTCTTTTATAAGTCGCATTCCCCTGAAAATACCCCCAGAAGGTGGATAGGATATTCACTTTAGAACTTAGTAAGCCAATCCATCTGATCTTCACAAATCTAACTTAGAAACATCACACAACAGTTTTATGTGCATTGTGGTTGCAAGTATCTTCTTTTGTTATTTAACATTGTACATTTTAGTTTACTAGAGCATTGTCTGAAAATGCACAATACACTCAGGTCAACCTGATTTAGTTTAACACAGAATTTCAGCCAGAAACATGCAGTAGTCTGGTTAAAGATATGACAGTTTCAGGCCTGAAGTAATGCTGGATTGTGTAAAGATGATCACATTTAGATTCAAAACTTATTTCAGTTCTAGTACCTCTGCTTTAACAAAGACATCTCTAAGCAGTTACACTTGAGACTGTATAGATAATAGGGTATACATTTCAATACGCGGTAACAAATTGTTTTTAACACTAATTTCTGTAACATAGCTACAAGAGAAAGTTTTAAGCAAGACTGATTATCACACCTCTCAGATAGTCTGGTTACTTTCCCATTTTAAAGAGAGTTTTAAACCACCCCCAGGAGTTAAATTTTTAATTTTCAGTTTCTTTGAACATTTTGCTCAGCTGTTCAACTAGTGCTACAAGCTCAGGGTTTCCCCCAAGTGATTCAATTTGTTTATAGGCTTCAGATTCAAGCTCTTTCAATGTATTCCGAGTGTACTCAAAGGAACCCACATTTTCAAGGTAATGTACACAGTATTTTTTTATATCTATGTTCTCTGTCCTTTGACGCAAGATGTTTTGCACCTGAGTACTTTCAGGCCTTGACCAAATTGCATGAATAGTTGGGAATGAGAACTTGCCCTCAGTTAAGTCTTCACAAAAACTCTTGTTTTCACTATATTCTTTGGAGTGCAAGTTGGCATAGTCATCTCTTATTTGGAAGAAGAGGCCAAGTGTGTTCAGAAGTGGCTTTAAGTCTTTTTTATAATTTGAGAACAGCTGCATGAGGCCTACAGCTAATCCAAAGAGACCACCTGTCTTTTGCAGTACCATAGCTTTATATTCAGCTTCCGTAGGACAGGTGTAAGTATCCCTCCAGTAAATATCCAAGCCTTGACCTTTATGGAGTTCCAGAAGTTGACGGGTAAAAACTTTAACAGCATCTGGATGATCAAGGGTTAAAACCTTCTCTAAGCCAAGGAAATACACATAATTAGCACAGTTGATTACAGATGGAATTCCATAGATACTGTGTGCCACTGGAAAGCCCCGTCGTAGCTTTGAGTTATCTTCAATATCATCCACAAGTAGGCTTGCATTGTGCAACATCTCTGTCACTTCAATGATAACCTATTACAAGAAGAGAAAAGTATTAAGTCTCCGACTGTAATTTAACCTCCAGTTTTGCAAGACCTTATTTAAAACGGGTAAGGCTTTAAAGAATTATATTCTGTCATTGAGGTTCCCCTTTAGACCACTTGCTTTTACTACTAATACAGATTTATGATTCTCGTCTTTATGATCAGCCAGTTTGCTCTAAGTCCTGGATCATGTGTAATGTCTTTCATGTAATGTTTTAAGACTCAAAGTGAACTTACTCCCTGAAGTGTTTCTACTTGCATGCTCTTCACTGTTGCTACAGTTCTAAAATATGCCATTGTCTAATAGTCATGCAGTAACTGTTATTAGAAATATGAAGAGAGGAAAAGAAAAGCAACACAGTGTTGTGACAAGTTTAGATTCATTAACCTGAGATCTCCCAAAGTCAGTTCTTGAGAGTGTCAAGTATCATCCATTAACACATTTGTCTCGTAAACCTTGTTTTGATAAGCACAGAGAGTTCATCATTCTTTCCCCATACTTTGTGTAGGTCACTATTGAGCTCTTAAAGGGCAGACTTCTCTCTCTGAAACACCATTTGGAAAATTCTTAGCAGAAAGGCAACAGCTACAACCTCTTTTAGGAAGCTTCCTACACACTTACTACTTGTTACTAGGTAGACCAATACCATACACCACCTGAGGTACGCAACAAACTGTTCAGAATGTCAAGCTTGTAGCTGACTACATTTGACTAAAAGTGAACCTTAACAATTCCAGAGCAGGACAATTCAACAAGAAAGGAAGAGTTTTAACACTATACACTGTTTTTATTGCACAGCTGCTATGCAAGGAACAGCTATATTCAGCACCTGCTTAAATGGAAATAAATTTAAGCATGTAAAACTGCATACTGTATAAACTCACTGCAAAATGCATCTGATTAAGATATGATTTTAAAGCTAATGAACCAATTACACTTGCTAGCTACAAACATTGCACTCAGTCAACACTCATCAAAACAACAACTTCTAAAAAATATTAAGGCCACCATTAAATAGTGCCAAGTACCTAGTATGGTCCTATTTGGTGGGTGCTGTAGGAAAGAGTAAGAGGGACTTCACCGCAAGCATTTTCTTGAGCAGCAAGTCACCCAGTGTTCAGTGACCACTGTCCCAAAGACTAAAACCCAAACCCCAGCAATCTAATTGTTTGTCCAAGATACAACTGCAAGAACAACCTACTTAAGAAGCACTAATGACTGATCTACCCATCAGAAGCAAGCCCTACTTTGACCTGTAAAGATACGTTGTTGCCCATCAGAGGATAGAGTACTTACTGAAAGCAACTTTGCATACCTATTTGTCTAAATATTCTTTTAGTCCATTATGTCATTCTCATTCTCAGAACTATCAAGAAAGTTTCCTTGTATTCTGTGAATTCCTTGGATAAACCTATTCTAGCATTTCTCTTGCTAACCTACTTTGTATCACTATCAGTTTCATGAACTTTTGCAGCTTCTAGATATTTAAGGTTTAATTGAAATAGTACTTCAGAATGTGTGTTTGAATTAAGTTATCTTATCTTGTGAACTTAAGAAAAGACAGTGTCAAAAATGCTTCAAAGTTAAAAGCAAGTAGCGAAAAAGTTCAGACAGCAGAAAAAACTTATTTTAGAAGACATCAGGAAGTAGCCTGAGGAAATGAAAAGACTGCTCTTCATAGTGAAAGCTGAAGAACCAGTACAGAGTGTTATGCTTTCTTACAACCTAAGCCTATTGAATCAGCGGCTGCTGCACTATCACTCCAACACACAGATTTCTACCTCCCTACCTGCAATAGCTTTAAAATTTGCTTGGCCCTGTGGTAGGCCATTTCAATGCCTTCTTAGGAGAAAGTTCATATGACAAACCCAGTGTTCTCTAATTCAACAAGCTGAAGTGTCTCAGTGCAGCATCAGATGAGTACTAGAGATGCAGTAAGTGCGACCACTTGGCTGGAAAAAAAGTGAAAAGGTGGCAGCCAGTAGTAAAATCAACTACCAAGGAACAGTATCCTCAACTGCATCCATCTAAAACTACATGAAGACAAATGATCTAATGTAAAAAAAGGTCCTATAAGGAGTGCTAGAATTCAGATTTCTAATAAAAGAAATATAAATAGCTGGAAAGGAATCGGGTTGCTAGACAACTGGGACATCTTAAGAAGATTATGAGAGATGTCAAAAAGGTGACTAGACGTGGTCCTGCAGACCTCAACAACTTTAAATTATTAAAATTAGTACAAGTATGCACAAAAGCAGTAATTGTGGCAGAATGCAGACTGAAAGATGACAGGGTCTTGATTTTGTCCTCAAGTGACCTGAAGAATAAAAATATTGAAGTTCCATCGCAAACAGCTTAAGTGGTAAAGGAAACATTAAAGCATCAGTTTTCTTCATAAAGATAACCAGAACAAGTGGTCTAAGTTTTCAATAATGGTTACATGATTATCAGTTTAAAAGTGACAGATAGAACTGGTAACTTCTGTTCATGCAGAGGCACTGCAGCTTTAGTTTACTATAGTACACGAGAGAATACGGACCTGTACTGTCACAGGTGCTCAGCAAAAGGGCAAGAGGCAACAATCCGTGCAGCATAAGAAATCCTAACTGGACAGAATGGAAGAGTTTGTTATCATGGAAAGGGTTCAGCATGGGAAGACAGGCCCGGAGAGGCTGCAGAATCTACATTCTCAGATTTTCAAAACTCAGCAAGGCCCCCAGAAGCCTAAAGCTGCTGAAGAGCAAGCCCAGCTTTAAGCAGGGGGTTATCCTAGATAGCTTCCGGAGGCTTCTTCCAGTTTGAATTCTGATCTATGATATTAGACTAAACCCATGCATATAACACACAGGTTACTATATAATACATTTTATTTATTATGTAGCTGAGCACAAAGGGTAAGAAGTGTCTAGCTGGAAGCCAGAATAAATCTGGCTAAAAAGTCAGATAGACAGGTTGGAAAATAGAAGAGTTACTAGATGATGAATACAGCCTCTTCCCACCACCCAAGCCGCAGAAGGCAAAAGCGGGGACTGGGAGAATGAGAGCCGCCCACTGTGGAACATCAGGTTCAAGACCACCTAAGGAACCTGAAGGTGCACAAGTCCATAGGACCCAATGAGATCCATCTGCGGATCCTGAAGGAACTGGCGGATGAAGTTGCTAAGCCACTATCCATCGTATTTGAGAAGTCGTAGCAGTCCAGTGAAGTTCCCTGACTGGAAAAGGGAATCCCCATTTTTAAAAAGGGAAAAAAGGAAGACTCAGGGAACTAGAGGCCAGTCAGTCTCACCTCTGTGCCTGGGAAGATCATGGAACAGATCCTCCTAGAAGCTATGCTAGGGCACATGGGGGACAGGGAGGTGATTCGATGCAGCCAGCATGGCTTCACCAAGGGCAAG